CACACACACACACACACACACACACACACACACACACACACACACACCATATTGTACTGAATTGCATTGTACTGCAACACAGGGAATTTGTGTTACACTTTTTATTATATACAGTAGGGTGATATGCTTTATTCGCCAGATATAGTTTGAAAAGAGACTTGTAATAAAATCAGATGGAAATAAAATTGACAATTGTACAAAGATGAAAATAATTTGTGTGCGTAGGTAAGTAAAGAAGAGTTGACAAAATTGGTCCAGGGATTCGACGAGCAGGATATTCTAACGTCGTCGGGCGTCACCTTGGCCGGCAACAGGTACATTTATCTGTCAGGTACGGATCGAGTGATAAGGGCAAAGCTTGGTAAAGTCGGCGTCCACTGCATGAAGACGACGCAAGCGGTAGTTGTCTCACTGTACGAAGATCCTATACAACCACAACAAGCCGCATCGGTCGTTGAAAAACTCGGGGACTACCTTGTGTCCTGCGGCTATTAGGTTGGTATATGCCTGTACGTATATGTGTCATTCGAGTTACGCGTTACCCTTGGTCCCTCGAGCATTAAATCTTTGTCACGTCTCTGTGCAATAGTCACCACGATATAGGTTATGTCGAGATGATTGATTGAAGCATCGTTGCTAGAGTAGCAACAGCCGGTGTTGATAACACGTAGAATCGATCTACATCGAAACAGCGTTTTTTTCGATAACGCTTCTCGATAGGAAGATTCGAAGTAAAGTTAAACGGGTATGCTTTGTACCACCCTCGCCTTGTGTATTGTGTCTCGCCCTCCATCTCGTTACGTATAGGTTAGTTCGATCGATGTTCGATGTTCGATCACCGATCGATCAACTGTTGCATCGTGCGTGACTTGTTTGTATCGTGATGGCTACTGTACGAATATATGCACATCTTCAACACGAATAGTTCTGAATGCCATGTGACTGCGAAAAACTGTCCCAGTCGAATGGGGTAAGAAATCTTGGAAGATTATCATCGAGCGTTGAACGAAACAGACAGACACACGCATAAGTGAGTCATTCTCGCATAATTTCAGTCGACCGCTTTGGCTCGATGTATCAGTTTGTGCCACGATGACTAATCACGGACTTGCGCACGTCCCTCGTGCTCGGATCGCGCGCACATGCTGAAAAGCACGGATATATACTTTATTCGCCCAGCGAAGGAACAGAGAGCGAAAACGCGTCGTACGCTGTTTGGTGGACATTTGGACTATTATAGATACGTATCTATGTATTTTTTTTTTCTTTTTTCTTTTTTTGTATAGAAAAAGAAGGAAAAGACACCGATTCTACGTACGTTTGATTCCTCTTCGTCGTCGTTCATCTTCAAAGATGAAAAAGTGGCACGTCACAATGTTTATTTAAAAATTTGTTGTCTGTTCTGTGGCACGTTCTGTTCGTTCGCGTAGGTAGGTCCGTTTCCCACGCGTTCCTTCTGGCGTCCCTGCTGCCCTCCTTCTTTCTTCCCTCTTTCGTGCGATTAACGACAAGATTAACAACGAGACGCTTTCCGTTTATTTTTTTGTTTCAGTAACCTCTGGGACCCAACATAAAATATCTAATATTAATATTAAATGATACGATCGATTATTTTAATGAACAGCGAGTGGAATGCGTCATGCCGCACGAGTCGCGCCGGAACTGCCGCAAGCTTGCCGCGCGACATTCGATGAAAAGCAACAACAACAACAACAACAACAACAACCACCACCACCACCACATCAGCAACAATACTAGCAACACAGCTATCATATTCCAGTCGTCGTTCTCTCCTCTTCGATTCGGCCGATTGACGTTCGGGGAACAGCAGACGCGCACGCATTCACGTCCGCGCGCAATCACTTGCGAGAAAAGGCCGCTTTATTTGGAAAATGATTGCGCAAATTGTAACCGACAAAGTGCGGTCTTTTCATTGTTTTTCGGCTCGGTACGATCTCGTAGCACCTGTGTTTTCAATTGTTATATCCGTTTGTGTGTACTCACGATCGAGATATATAAGGTGTCGACAGTACTCTAACGACAGAAATTTCAGAAGCTATTTCGCTCCGCGAAAAGAGAAAAGAAAGAAACAAACACGCTTTTTTACGATTGAATAATAAAAGAAAAAATTATGAACCGCAAATACCATGCTGTTTTACATTTATATACGCACCATAGAACGAAAGAATTGTTGTCACCTGAGAAGTGATAATGATAGAGTGAATCGGGGATGAATCAAACTAGGAGAAAAAAGTAAGCATCCTTCATTTGCAAACGATCGGGCATCGATTCGTCGACGGAGAGAAAAGATACACAAGAAGCATGCATTAAGTATAAGAAATACTGATAATAAATAATAAATAATAGTAAACTATTGCGTGTTAGGTTTACAGTCTTTTGTAGAGAATGTTAGAGACGGAGAGAAAGAGAGTGTGCGAGAGAGGAGCGAGCGAGAGAGAGAGAGAGAGAGCGCTAGAGAAAGATGGATGGAATAGAAAAAGAAATGTGAAGGTGAAGAAAGGGCGTGAAAGAGAAAATGAATAAAAATGAAGAAGCA